AAGAACTGAACTTACGCTTGATCTGTTAAGGAAGGTTTGGCCTGGGACTCACACAAGGGTGTAGAAATGGGATGTGGTTTTATTGATTTTTAGAAAAAGTAATATATTTAAGTAAAAATTAAAAACCAAGTTATTCAATAGCTTGTAATATGAAGAAATGCCTCATTCTAAATAACCTGTTTATACCTTACAGACAAGTCTGTATACTTCCCCCAGTGAAACACAGTGAATAAAGTTCATGTTCATCAACCCTTCGCTCCCTCCTCCTTATTTAGACATGGTTTTATTTTTCAAGTACCATGTGCATGCGTGCTAAGTCACTTCAATCGTGTCCAACTCTTTGCGACCCTATGGACTGTAGCCATCCAGGCTCCTCTGTCCATGGGATTCTGTCCAAGAATACTGGAGTGGGTTGCCAGTCCTTCTCCAGGAGATCTTCCTGATCAAGGGATCAAACCCACGTCACTTGTGTCTTCTGCATTGGCAGGTGAGTTCTTTACCATTAGAGCCACCTTACCACTGTAACTTTAAACATTATAACTAAAATTCTATCTCTTCACATGCCAAGTTTAGACAGTATTTCTTGACTTCCTACTAAATAAGAGAGAAAATTAGCACCCCATACTTTCTTTCACCATAGGATGATTTTATTTTATTGTTTTATTTGTGACAGTTTTATAGACAGAAACAAAAACAACTTTTATTGCTGTTTGTGCTGAATCATGACGTGTACAGTATCTAGTAATAAAATTTGGCCTGCAGATGTTGTAAACTAAGAGCTATTTAAACCTCATTAGACCGAGGGAGTAGGCTGGACAGAGGAGCCTGGCAGGCTACAGACCGTGGAGTCACACACAGTCAGACACAACGGAGCAGACACACATCACACCCACTACAATACTGCGTTTAACACTTTTTGAAAATTAGATAAAAGAACATATTAAATTTCAAATGCTCTGCCAGCATAATTTTCTTCTAATTAGAAAGTGTTTAAAATGTGTAAATATTTAACACTTGTTTAAACCATAAAGTTAGATACAGTCTAAAGAAAGATGATGCTACCTCTTACTGATTTTTGCTGGCCCTATAAACTTGTTAAGATTTTGAATATAGGACATTTTGCACAAAATGTGAAGTCTTTGTTTTTTGTTGTTACTATAAAACAAATGTACGATGTGTGTAGCTTCCCAGGTGGCTCAGTGGTAAAGCCTCCACCTGCCAAAGCAGGAGACGTAGGAGGCCAGGGTTTGATTTCTGGGTCGGGAAGATCCCCTGCAGGAGGAAATGGCAACCCACTCCATATTCTGGCTTGGAAACCTGGTGAGCTACAGTCCATGGGGTCACAAAGAGTTGGACACGCCTGAGCGACTGAGTACGTATGCACAATGAATGTACAATGTTAAAATGAATCAGTACTAAGCCACATGACAAAGACATTCATAGTATTGGTATTTTTGATGTACAAACATTTGGAAAATATGAAGATGCCAAATGTAGACCTTTACGAAGAAACAATATCAAATTACTAGTTTATTTTCAATGTAGTAATCTTGAAGTCAATTTGATACAGACTAAACAGTGTGTCAACAAAATACTATATAAATTGAACAATTAGCACAGGGAATCCAAGTATTGAATAGGGAAATCTGAATAGACCAAAATATTAAGGACTACTCTTGTCAAAGGAAATTTGTTTCTGTTAAAACTTTTAAAAAGTCTTTTTTTTTTTTTTTTTTGGTTTGGAAAATGTCTGTTTTCAATAAAGAGCAGAAATAAAAATAGAAAAAACATATTCTTAGATATTAAGCTTTACACAATCAATTAAGCATTAATATTTTGCTTTTTTTCCTAGGGAAAAATGAGATTTCATTTTCAGAAATCTCTCACACAAATGTAAATGAATATCTAAAGTAAAAAATACTTTAAAATCTATCAACAAAATATGAAAGTTTAAGCAATGGCATATCAAAAATACCTAAGACACTGCTCTATACAACATAAAGCACACTTTTTCACCCAAAAGGAGAAAGCATCTAATCTTTTTCTGAGAATATGAATTTCATGACAGTAAAGTAGGTAGACACTGTCAAGTTTCTCAAAAACTGTTTCTTTTCACAAGACAGATTTTTTCTGTAGCTAGGCTAATTTTTTTAACATAGTACTCCTTCTTGCTCCCAAACAAAAACATTCCCCAAAATCATTTTCTTAAATGGAAGCATTGTAATTGCTACCAAGATGCAGTTTTCATGGAGGGTCTGAAAGAAAAAAAACTTCATAATTTCTGGCATTGAATGAACTATTTACAAAACAGAAAAAGACTCACAGACATAGAAAACAAGCTATGGTCACCGAAAAGGAAAGGGGATAGAGAAAGGATGAGTTAGAAGTTTGGGATTAGCAGATACAAACTACGTATAAAATAAACAACATGGTTTTCCTCTATACCATAGGGACCTATATTCAATATCTTGTAATGAGCCATAATGGAAAGGAATACAAAAAAGAATATAACATACATGTATGTAAATGAATCACTTTACTGTAGACTTGAAACTAACACAACACTGTAAATCACTGTACCTCAATAAAAAATTAAAAAGTAGAATTCCAATTCTAAAAATTTATCTTAGAAAAATTACTACTAATAATCACCAACAACATAAGTGCCAGGTATCAAAGAACGAGGGGCACAAATTTATGGTGCATTCATCCAATAGAGGTAAAATAGTGTTTATCAATATTTATGAGCATAGAAGGATATTATAAGTTAAAAAAAGTTATAAAATATTCTGAAATAATCTCATTTTGTGGTTTTTATAAAGTATGGAAATAGATCCATAAAATTATTAGCAGTGGTTATTTTTAGATGATAAGATTTTTGGTTGGTCTTAATCATTTTCCTTATCTACATTGACATATCTTGCATACATAAAAGTATATATCACTTGTTTAATGAGAAAAAATATACATTTAAAATTATAATTATATGTAATTACGTTGTTGATGTTTAGTCGCTAAGTCGTGTCCAACTCTCTGCGACCCCATGGACTGCAGTGTGCCAGGCTTCCCTGTCCTACACTATCTCTCGGAGTTTGCTCAAACTCATGTTCATTGAGTTGGTGATGCTATCTATATATCTAGATATAGATATTTCACAGCAGAGGCAAAATTAGGTCCTAGCAATCGGGAAGATGGTTATACTCTGGAAATAAGCATCCTATTTATAGGAAATGATAGGATGATATTCTGCTCTGAGCCTGGGCAATAAAGCCTACTGAGTTGGGTACCTGATTAAAAAAAAAAGATTTTCAGCATCCTTCAGAAAATGAGAATCAGCTAAAATTTTCACATGAAATTTATATTGATATGCAACATGGTTGCACCTCAAGGCCCTTCAGTCCTCTATACTTTACCTCAGGTACTCCCAGTCCCAGACTGAGAGACCCTGAGCTTGGGTACAATCCTTTGCTTGCTGGAGTTTTATATCTTAAGTTCAGCAAATTCAGCCAGTTTGAGTTTTCACCAGGAATTGGAGTTACGGACTGCCCCACATTATCATTTTACACCTGGCAATCCAGCCAAATTGAAAATCATGTCATTAAGAAATACTCCATTTACCTTGCATTTGTCATCTGTGCTGTATCCTCTCACTAGAAGATTCTTCCTCCTCATCCCACCCCCAGCATCAAAGTCTGCTTATCTGTTTCTTTTTTTTTTAATGTGGACTATGTTTAAAGTCTTTAATTGGTTACAATATTGCTTCTGTCTTTTGTTTCATTTTTTTGCCAAGAAGCATGTGAGATCTTAGCTCCCTAAACCTCCTTGTGTATGCATGCTCAGTCGTGTTCGATTCTGTGGGACCCCATGCACTGTGGCCCACCAGGCTCTTTTGTCCATGGGATTATCCTGGCAAGAATACTAGAGTAGGTTGCAGTTGCCATTTCCTCCTCCAGGGGAGCTCCTGGTCCAGGGCTTGAATCTGCATCTCCAGTGTCTCCTACACAGCAGGCAGATTCTAATCCATTCAGCCACCAAGGAAGCCCAGGGATCAAACCCACACCCCCTGCATTGAAAGTGAAGTCTCAACCACTGAACCACCAGGGAAGTCTCAAAGTCTGCTTATCTTTAAGTGGTGGTAGTTTGGTCACTAAGTCGTGTCCGACTCTTGTGACCCCATGGACTGTAGCCTGTCAGGCTGCTCTGTCCATGGGATTCTCCAGGCAAGAATACTGGAGTGGGTTGCCATATCCAGGGACCTGTTTAAATGCTTCCTACCCCAGGAAGCCTGTTCTCTTCTCCCACAAGTGGTGTGCTCTGTTTTGAATTTTCCCTTCCGAGGTCCAGGAAGCCACCTTAGATTTACACCATCAGGATGAGCATTCCCTGCTGTACTTGACTTTTCATACTATTTTTTCTCCTTTAAGTTCTTTTAGACACAAAGTAAGGAAAAAAAAGTATGTCAATCAGCTTAAAATTATGTTAATCTACCTATTTCCATCCGGAGTGTGCATTGCTTCTTCCAGTAGATTGTAAGCTTCTCTAGAGCAGAGACAAATCTCCTACTTACATCTGTGAACACATAGGCCAGTACACAGTAGGTTTTGAACCCTTGTTTATTACATTGACGCCTTCAATGCTAGGCTCGGGGGGTGACACAGGACAACGGCAGTGAGGATGCTGAGAACTCAGACAGAAGTCTCAAACCACCTGTGTCTCTTAGGAGGAAAGCAGGAGAGGCAGCCTGCACCAGCAGGGTGCATGCACTTAGCAGACATGCACTTAGCATGTCTGAGCAGAAACCCCAGGTGTTTGCAACAGCCAAGGCTCCAGAGCAGCGGTGTTGGTGCTGAGCTGAAGGGGTGGGTGGAAGAGGGAAGCAGAAGTACAGCTTAGCAGAGTTCTCGCCTCCTAAGTGTAGGGGCGCCAGTGTGAGGGAGGAGACTGTGCTTCCCGCAGAATGAGTGCAGGAGACCAGGGTGGGCCAGTCACCTTAACACTCCTTAACATTCCTCCTCCTTGATATGGTGGGTTGTGCCACCCCTGAGGCAGCGGGGCTTCCGGAGAGCCCTCCAAGAGCCAGCTGGGCTCTGATCCCGGGGCCTTTGGGAACCAGAACCACAGTGCCCTGCATGAGGAGGGCAAGGAGCAGAGCGGGAAACTGGGAAAGGCCTTGGGCGCTGGGGAGGGGGAAATCTGAGAGCACTCGGAGACCCCTGATTTTGCTGATTCTGTTGTGACATGGCTTGGTTAGCCCGTGGAAGCTGGAAGGAAAAAGGACATTTGGTTAGATCAGGAACCCAGTGGCCCTGGGTGTCTGTTTCTCTGCTTCATGAGCTGGAGCTCTCGTGGAGCCTAGCATTTACAACCTGCTAAAATCCACCCCAGGAGGGGTATAATGGATTAGAAAGGGGAGTGAATTGTGGTGAGAACTCTCAGGGGACCCTATTGGCAACAGTCAAGCAAATCACTTACTCTTTATCTTAGACAAAAATAAAATAAAATAAACTGCAACCTAGTTGAGCTGGCAGTCCACATTTCCCAGGTCAATGTCCACAATGTTCAGGGGTTAAGGAGGTCTGAGTCTCTACCCATTCGTTACTCAGTCTTGCTTTACCCTGAACTTCCTAAGCCTGCATACACCTTCTCTGTTCTTCTAGCTTCTGTGGCTTTCTTCCATGTTAGATCACGCAGGGTCTTTTAAAGGGATCCATTTCCCTTCCCTTCTCCCTGCCCCAAACCTCTCGTTCCTGGTGCATCTATTCCCTTAGAAGAAACCAGAGAAGGAAATGGGGCTCCCTTAGTGGCCTCTGAGTGAGGGACCTCCATGCGTCTCCCCACTCAGACATAGCTTTGCTCTAGAGGAAGACGTGTGGACAACTTACCTCGGGAAGAGTCTGGAGGCCTGTGGGGCTGGGAAGGAAGAGGCGTTTTATACCTACTCCAGTCAAAGCCTCCGGGCTACTTGTTATTGGAGGGCAGCCATGGAGTGGTTTATTTATCCGGATGTTTCACAATTCCAAGGGCTGGATTCCTCAGCTACACACACGCAACTGGATCTATGTCAAAGGGATCTGCATGTGAGTGAGTGACCGAAGGTTGGGGCCTTCAGGTTGGCTTGAGTGGAGGTGTACACTGACCAAGTCTAGATGACACCCGTGGGGGCATTGAATGGGGACATCAGTTCTATCTGGGACTGGATGTGGAGGGATCAAGTTCAATACCATCCAAGTGTGAGGACGATCCTCCTTGTTCCCCGCTCCTATCACCCATGACTTTCATCATCCAGCTCAATGCTGTTGCCGCCATGGAGACTTGCCTGGTCTCCCAGCCACGTGCAAGCCCTCCATCCTCTGAACTTCGCAGATGCCTCTCACAGCATTTACAGCTGCTCATGGTCAAGATGACCTAAATTCTTGTCCCAACTCCACTATTAAACAGTTTCTTGATGACAGAGACCTTGTCTTTATCACATCTACATTCCTAGAGCCTGATGCTGTCCCTGACATAAAGAGGATACACATAAATATTTGTCAAATGAAATAATCTGAGTGCCATTAGAACAGACTTTGAGTCTGGGGAGAACAAAAGACAGCAGGAAAACAAGATCCTGCTCATGTTTGTTTTATGGATCAGATCTCAACTACTTGCATTCACATCCTTGCCTAATACTATTTAATATAGAGTGCAGAGAACACTGTGGTGGACCTCATCTTATGGAACAGGCTGAAAATAGTGTGGAGAGTAAAACACTAATACAGCTTGCCATCTCTTAAAGGCAAAAAGGGAGCTATTTATGTCATCATTAAGAGAATTTAGGGAAAAGTCCAGAGGGAAAACTTTTTCTTCATATTTCATGAAAATGTGTATCGGCACATGTTGTCTGTCCTTAGAGTGGGAACACTCTCATCTAAATACAGTCCCTAACTTCTGGATGTTTCCATCTCAGAATTACTGCTGACATGCACAGTTAAGGAAAAAGGTCCTGATGAAATTCCTTGGTCTTAGGGATGATGTTTTGCCTGACTCTGCATTTGCAGTGCTTGACACTCAGTAGGGACTCAGGAAACTGTTGAGTAAAAGAAAAAGAGCAATTACAGAGGATATTCTGATTAAAGGAGCAGTCTTCAAAGGCTTCAGTCACATAGTAGGTAGGATTTAGATGTGGGGTGAGGGGTTAGTACCTAACCAGAGCGGTAAACAGGACAAGAATAGGAGCAGCTGTTGAGGCCTGAAGCTCAACGGGTCAGGATTATCAGGGCTTACTTGCTTCATCTGGGAAGGTTCCCTGGAGGGGGCAGCCTTGATGTGTAGCTTGGATGAAGTAGAGAAAGGTCCTTGTGAGTAGGACAGAGAGAATGATATGAAACCCATCTCATCTCATTAGAACAAGACCCTAGAGAGAGAGCTTCCTAGGTGGCACTAGTGGTAAAGAACCCACCCGCCAATGCAGGTGATGTAAGAAATGCAGGTTCAATCCCTGGGCCGGGAAGATCTCCTGGAGGAGGGCTGGGTTAGGAAGATCTCCTGGAGGAGGGCTGGGTTGGAAAGATCTCCTGGAGGAGGGCATGGCAACCCACTCCAGTATTCTTGCCTGGAGAATCCCATGGACAGAGGAGCCTGGAGATCTACAGTCCATGGGATTGCAAAGAGTCAGACATGACTGAGCAACTTCAGTTTCGTTAGAGACAAGAGAGCACCTGGTTAATGGGGCCCTGGAGATTAGACCCTTCTTTCCTCACTTCCTCCCTCTCTTCCTCTTTCTTCTTCTCTTAATTTTTTCCTTCCCCTTGGACATCAGAAAAAACCCAAACTGCTCCTCAGAAAGGCTGCAGACACACCAAACATTAGCGGGAGGGCAAAGGAACGCTGTCTCAGTTTACCAGTTGTTCCTTATCCCCACCCAGAACCCATCACGTAAACCTACACTCACAAATGAGCTTCCTTGAGGTCAACTAGAATCTGCCCAACACCTACTGCCCCTCTGTAAGGGCTAAAGAGTCTTTGTGGGGCTCTGCCCTGGATGAGCTAGGCTTCCCTGTTACCTCTCCATCTCCCTGAGCCACTCCTCATAATTGCCCACAGGAGTCTCTAGGTCCCATCATTTTCAGCACAATGAAATTTCATAACATGTGGGATGGTACTGGGAATTGACACCACCAGAATTGGCCTTTTCAATGGAGGAGATTAGCATCTAGCTTTGCTCATCCCCTAAAGGGAGCTTGCTTGAGGCCAGCAGAGCTGTCTCGTCCTCCAACTAGACTTACAAGTCCAGTCAGTTCCAGGTCAGGACTCCAGAAAGTTATTGTTCTCCTCTTTTCCTGGTTAAGACTGTATTTATGAGTTTGATATTTATTAAGACCTGAAGCCAAATCTGGCCTCTGTACCCCAACACAGAATTAAATCTCAGAGACAAGTTTGGGATGAAGTAGAAAATAATTTTCTTAGTTTTGGCTTTTCTTTAGTTTTGGCAGGCAAAGGGGGCCACAGTGGCCTAATGCCCTTATAACTGTGTATCTCCACTTGGAGAGTGTAGTGAGTTTTATGCTAATGGTTCAGAGAGGGAGTGATCATTTTGTCAATATTCTTCTGATTGGTTGGTGGTGGAGTAAGTGGGAGTTAGCATCATCAACCTTCAGCTTCCAACTTGTCTGGGGTCTTCACACTTGCAGACAGGATACCATCGTTGATCTTCATTAATTTCTCCCACCTGGGGGGTTTCAGTATCTGCAAAACAGCTCAAAGATATTGTTTTGTGTACACTTTGGTGGTGAGTCAGGACCTTGCCCCAGGTTTCTGGGGCACCATTTTTTCTCTTGACTGTTTGCTTCTCCCTGTCTCTCATCCTTCCCTTCCCTGATGAACAATTGTTTGAATCTGCACATTGGAACTCCGGGAAGGCCATGGAGGCTGAATGAAGGCTATTTCCTGTAATCAAAGAAATGGGGGACACAGAAAGGCTATGTCCCCAGGAGCCCCTTAGGGCCTTGCTTGGTATCAGCACCTACTATATCTGGATACAAACAGAATATGAGTCCCATCTTATTCTTCAAAGTTTTCACACTAGAGATAATATAGACACTTTGGTATCTAACACAAGACAGTAAGTGAGAGACAGGCAAACAGAGAGAGGCAGGTGAATTCTGGTTATGAGTTGAGAATAGAAATGTACCACGTTAGAGTGATGGCATTTTGAGTAAAGTGGTTCCCACTATTATTGGCATCCAGCCTTGTCTGGGGACAGGACAGCCTATTGCTGAGAATTACCCATTCCCTTCTCACTCCTTAATCCCTATTTGTGATTCTATTTCTCTGAGCAATAGACATTTCCTTTCTCCCTTGCTCCCTCCCTTCTTCCCTTCTTCACTCTCTCTTTCCCCTTTTTCTTTCTTTTTCTTTCTTTCTCCCTCTCTTCCTTCCTCCCTCCCTCTCTTCTTTCCTTTATTCCTTCCTATCTTTCTTTCTGCCTTTTTCTTTTGTTCTGAATCCTTTTCTGAGAGTTCCTTTTCTGTAATGGGTTCCCTGACAATACCTGATCAGGAAAATCTTCAGAATAGTCATTGCTTGCCATGCATACAACTTATCACACCCAAATGCTTTTATGTGACAGTGCAAACATTTCAAGCATGGGCTGTTGACTTAAAATATAGTCACAACCTAAAAGTTGAGAGTTATGTTTTATTTGATGGGAATTTTTAGGACTTCAAGCCTAAGAGATAGCATCTCAAGTAACCCGGAGAGAACTACCCTAAGGAGATGGGAGGAGGAATCAGGTTGCATAGAAGTTTGCAACAAAGGGCAGGTAGTCTGAACATCAGAAGTATTTGGTGAATTAAAGAAAACCAGATATCCCAAGTTAAGGAATTAGCACTTTTCTTCACATGGGAATAAGCAAAAGTTTGGGTTCACTGAAACCATTTCTTTCATATGCATCTCAGCTATCTGGGGCCAGCATCCTGTGTTTTTCACATCCTGAGTTCCTCAGCGCTCAAAGTAGAGAGTAGCTGCAGTCTAATGGCTGCCAGTTTGCACAGGTATTATTCTCCTTCCTGAATGCTCTTAGGGCTCAGGACTTCACACTTGGAGGACTGGAATGGCTGGTGAGTGTGAAATCCTTGTTTACTGATACGGCAGGAAACACTCCATTTCTCAGAGCTAGGTCTCATACATCTTCTATCTCCTTTCAGGGTGCACAATGGTTAATTGCCATACTAGTTTAATAACTAGTTTCAAAAAATTCCTATCACAAATTTTGCCAAAGGAAACAAAAAGATTTACCCAGAATGTGTTTCAAATAGTATGTCCTAAGTTGATTAGTTTCAGGTGAATATGAACTCAGCCATGGCAAGATCAGACACAGTGAGGTGGGGTTGTCTGCATCATGGCGTGGACACCTCAACTACATTTCCTGAATACTGTGATATTTTTGCTTAGAATGTGTCAAGAAATATAGTTTAGAGGGAGTGTTCAGGACATCTATCCTGTGGCTCTCATAGTTACTTCTTATTTCAGAGCCCATCCATGTTCTTTTTTTCTAGAAAGAAAGGCTAAGAGATTTTCTGATCCTAGAGTTTTCCTCCAAGTAGGACCATAGCCAAATGACCAATTATGCTGACTTGTACACGAGGCTATAATATTATGAGGATTAGCTAGCTAAAGGAGACGATAGGGTCTAAATGCTTGGTTTCAATTTTAGTAGAAGAAATTATCAGCAAAAAGTGAGCTTAGTGTAAGCTTTCCTTCACCAGAGGGGTCAGTCTCTTTTCTTCTTCTTGCACCATCTAAGAAAGAAAAGAAAAGCTCCTGAGATTTAGAGAAAAAGAATTAAAACTGTGCTTAGAGGTTAGATTGTTTAAACTCCTCATAAAATAACTTGTAAAGAATAAATTATTTAAGAAATATATGAATACTTAAAATATTGAGACTCAGTCTTTTTAAACCTCAAAGGAAACCTAAATTAGATTAAACAAAAGTCCTTAAAGGAAGGCTTCCAGAGTGCTAGCATGAGGAGCTCCATGGACCCTCCCCCCGCCACCAGAAACACATCTGTAATTGTTGAAAATTACTTTAAAAAAGTATTTAAAGTCTATGTAAATTGTCCTGGAGACATACAACAAATGCATAAACTTTTACTCAAGTGTGTGAGTACATGCTTAGTCACTCAATTGTGTTCAACTGTTTGCAACACATTGGACTGTAGCATGCCAGGCTCCTCTGTCTGTGGGATTTTTCAGGCAAGAATACTGGAGTGTGTTGCCGTTTCCTTCTGCAGGGGATCTTCCCAACCCAGGGATTGAACTTGCGTCTTCTGTATCTCCCCATGTCTCCTGTGTCTCCTGCATTGCAGGTGGATTCTTTACCTGCTGAGCCATCAAGGAAGCAAGAAAATCTAGTAAATCTCAGTCACAACAAAAAAAATCTATGACCCTAGAGTGCACCTGGTCTTAACTGGAATATTACACCTCTCAGAGAAATAGAATCCTTTTGTCTGAGAATTCCAGTTTAGATAACATGGTAGTCATGTGTCCCTTTGGTCACTGATAAGCTCTATGCTTATTAGTGTGCTAGCTGGCTTTATTGGAGGGGTCCCACCAATATGTGTCAGAGAAGGCAATGGCACCCCACTCCAGTACTCTTGCCTGGAGAATCCCATGGATGGAGGAGCCTGGAGGGCTGCGGTCCATGGGGTCACGAAGAGTCGGACATGACCTTGTGACTTCACTTTCACTTTTCACTTTTATGCGTTGGAGAAGGAAATGGCAACCCACTCCAGTGTTCTTGCCTGGAGAATCCCAGGGATGGGGTCGCACAGAGTTGGACACGACTGAAGTGACTTAGCAGCAGCAGCAGCAGAACCAATATGTGTAATGTTTGACTTCTCTCGTTACTGAAACCAATGGGGATGCATCCCTCTTCTAGTTTCCTGCACTATTCAAGGAGGAAGTGCATGCTGAAGATCAGTGTACTGATCCTCTCTGGACTTTGAATCTTAAGTTTCAGACTAAAGACATGGGGACATCTAGAGGTCATGTTAATTACAGCAGTTGGGAGGCCTGAATCATATTAGTCTTGTGATGTGTTCCTACTGTCTACTCTACCAGACACTTGTGTCTTTTAACAAATTAAAACACAAATTCAAGGTATTATTGGCTATTTATCCAGTTGGTAATAAGACTATCAAGGCACAATAATCTAGAAGTTAACAATAATTAAATCTCATGTGAAATTTGTAATTGAAAAAAAAATTAATGAAAATGCAAGATTTCCTTACAAAGTTTAGAGTTGGAATATTTGACCTGAAAAATTGGACTTGGGACTCAAGGAGAGAAAATGGAGACTTGAGTGCTTTTGAAAAAGTCCCCGAATCCTCTTATAGGTATTTTAAATTTTGTGATCTTTGCTGCACACTATATGCATGTTCCTAGTTAGAATTAGCTAAGATTCCTGGTTTATTTGCAGAAAGTTCATATTTAACTTTCTAAACAAATGTTTTGGTTAAAGGAGAAAAGAAAGTTGGCGGTGAGTTGGGGTAGTATCACAAAGGATAGGAGGAAGAGGAGACCAGTGAAGGGATGGAATGCATATCTGTCAAGTCTGTCTTGCTCCAGGGACCACTGGACCCAGAACAAAACCTACAGTCCAAGGCTTCATCTTCATGAGAGACATTAGGACATTGTACTTAAGCAGAGCTGCATGGAATTCATCTGAGAAGTGGTGTCAAAGTAAGAGGCAGGCTTCTCTGGTGTCTCAGCCATAAAGAATCCTCCTGCAATGTAGGAGATGCAGGTTCGATCCCTCGGTCAGGCAGATCCCTTGGAGGAGGGCACCGGCAACCCACTCCCGTATTCTTGTCTGGAGAACCCTGTGGACAGAGGAGCCTGGTGGGCTAGAGTCCATCGGGTCACAAAGAGCCAGACTCAATGGAAGCGACTGAGCAGGCACACACAAGTAAGAGGCAGGGCCATTTTTCTCTCCTCCCTTTCTCAACCGTATCATCCAGCACATATTTGATTCCCAGGGTCTCAGGCAGCAAGAGAATGGATGACAGTGGAAAGAATACTGGGGCACAAGCAGGCAAGGAAGAGTCCAGAACAAAATGGTGAGCAGATTTCTTGTTTTATTTTTTCATTTGAGGCTGCAGATGCAAGGAGATTATCTGGGGAGTGAGTTAGAGTCTGTGGTTTGGGGATTCCAGGGCAGACATCCCAATTGTTGTCAGAGGTCAGCAGACAGATTCTCGGGAGCAGACTCAGGTTTCTGAATCCCAGGACAGAGAGTCACTCCAGCCCAGAGTTCAGAACCTCACCTGGGACCTTTCAGGCAATCTCAGGAGGAGGAGGAGGAAGTGTTTGTCCATCTGTTGTCCCCAGGTCAGCTCTTCTTGGCTCAGGGTCTACTTCAGCAGCAGCCGCCTCCAGAGGACTGACCACTCCCCCCTCCACAGCACCCGGAGCCCCCCGAGGGCTGGCTGCAGCAGTCAGACCTCTGGGGTCTGCAGTGATGGGACCTGCGGCGCCTGTGGTGGCTCAGGCAGCAGCCCCCAGCCCCAGAGCTGCAGCAGCCCCCGGAGCTGGAGCCGCAGCAGGAGGAGACTGGGGGGCACTTTGGGGGGCATTTAGGGGTGGGGCACTTGGGGGCACACTTGGGAGGAGGCTGGCACTGCTGTTGGTTCTGCTGGCAGGACATCTTGGTGGGCGGGTTCAGGAGCTGAGGGAGAGACAGACAGCAGGTCAGACCAGCACACAGAGACCTCCCTTACGGAATTTCACCATCTTGTCTTTCCTCCACATTCTAAAAGCCTGGTCAAGTAACTCGTGGAGAAATTATCTATAGTTTTTCAAGTGCTTTTCACTATCTTATTTGAAATTTGGGAGCTTTTCACAAAACAGACATAGGTTGTCTTCTTTCAACAAAGCAAGGCATAGAAATCAACTAACTAAATTGACAAACTTGCCCAAAGACAAGGTCCTTTCTTTGGAGAAGCCAAAATTGACCTTCACAAAGTCTGACTCAAACTCACTCTACGCCACTCAGAATTCTGATAATGTCCAGTCTAGGAGACAGTTTAGAGCATCAGTACTCTCTGCTAAGGAAGAACTAGAGATTCCCTTCTGGAGGAACTTCCCAGATAGCTTTCCAGAGACATGTATTATTATCAGCTCATATATCATATATAATTTCATAATTCTGCATATGTATTTGGGTTAACCAGTCCATATGTTGGCCCTTTGCAACTCTGTTTATATATTATCTATCTATATCTGTATTTATCTATGTATATGCTTGGCTTTCCAGGTGGCCCTAGTGGTAAAGAAACCCCCTACCGATTCAGGAGACATTAAGAGAAGCAGGTTTGATCCCTGGGCAGGGAAGATCCCCTGGAAGAGGAAAATGGTAAACCACTCCAGTATTCTTGTCTGGAAAATCCCATGGACAGAGGAGCCTAGTGGGCTCAAGTCTATAGGGTGGCAAAGAGTCAGACATGACTAAAGTGATTAGCACACATAGCATGCATGCTTGTGTGCTATATGCAAGTATATATGTATATCTCTATATATACATATATAAAATGGAGTTACTAAATCATTTTAGAGAGAAGTGAGCCCCAAACCTAATCAAGGCAAGTTGGATGTGAAACTAGGTTTTCTGGTCTAAGTGAAACTAGGCTTGGTTATGCACCCTTTACAACACACAACCTCTTCCAAATTTTACATCTTAGCAGGTAAATTTCAACTTGTTAATCATTATTCAACTCAGGAGCTTCTGGTACGGATGCCAGGCAGCGGTCCTGACCAAGTAAGTGACAGTTGGTGAGGGTGAGGCCCTTGGATCTCTGTTTTCATCTGACCCCAAATATGCTGCCTCTGGTCTCCATTGTTTAAAAAATCACTCTGACCCTAGTAGAGGCTTTGGAGCAGGAACACAGCTGGCTTCTCCAAGGTAATAGTTCCTTATGAAAGTTTTGACTTATCTAAAACCTGAGAAACTCAAAAAGATACAGAACTAACTTAGAGCACAGAGCATAGACCCACAAATGCCATCTCCTGCCTCACAGTTCATCCTTCATCAGGTTTCTAGATTTTTGCTCCCTCTCGGGATCCACCCTCATCCTTGCCATCCCCAAGGCCCTGCCCCCTGCCCTCCCCTCTAGTCTGAACATCCTCTGTGGAAGGTCCTGGTCTGGGTCCCAGTGGACACTTACCAGTGTCGAAGCAGCGTGGGGTCTGTCAACACCTCAGGAGAGAAGTGGATGGAGGTGCTCTATCCCTAAGGCCTTTTATCCTGGCCTTGGGCTCTTCCCTCAGGTGTGAGACATGACCTGGGCATTTGAGGACCGCCTCCTGCCAGCTGTATGGCTCCTGTGACAAGTGATGACTGGTAGCTCCTTCCTGCCTCTCTCAATGGGGCTCAGAAAAGTCGCTCCCAGCTAAAAATATGGTCAATAGAAATGGGATTGAATTCCTTCCATCATCTGCCACCTTATTATCCTTAGTGGTACCTGCCTTTCAGCCTCTTTCTTGGAGCTTGGTCCTCCAAACTTTCCTGTTTTTCCTTCTATGACCATAATTCATTAGCTCCAGACCTTCTCATTTGCACGGAAAAACACTGATGTCTCCAAGGTTTTCACTTTGCTATTGGGAGTGAATGTACGTGTACACCTGTGTGTCTATGTCTGCACTTGTTTTCTAAGTGCGGTGTGTGTATTTGGTGTGTGTTTTATGGAGCTCACATTCCAAAATAGATTTACCTCTTAAATCAACTCAAGCTTGGAAAAATTACTCAGAAGTTAGGTTTATGTCTCTGGAACCGGACTTCCTGAGCATGAATTCTAGATCCAACACTTCCTATTTAGATATAACAACTTAGGGCAAATTGTTTAGCTTCTCTGCCTTTGTTTCCTTATCAATTTAGTGATTTTAATAGCTTCTACTTCATGAGTTTCTTAGGAGAATCAAAAAGCTCATAGAACTTTGCCTTGAATATTTCATACATATCAAAAGCTATCATCATAGTTATCATCAACATCATTTTCCTTAATTACCTCCTTAGACGCATGCTGGGGCAATCAATAGATATTCTTGTCACGTATGAAGCCAACATTTGCATAGGACTTTAGAGTTTCCAAATAGTTTTCTCATATGTCCATCAGCATAAGGCCTGGAGCATGCAGTCATATGTATCCTGTGCAGACACAGGATACATCACTCTGTAAAAGTCTGGCCCTATGCTGCCTGAGTACGACTCTTATCTTCCTGCTCAGGTTGTTACTCATAAGGGAATGACTGTAGTATCAATTCCTTGTCTATCACACAGAAGTCTTACTCAGGAGCAGAGCACTGATATTAAAGTAATTGGCCTGAGGATTCGTATGGTCCCTGCCTCTAAAGATGTGGTACCCAAGCCATCAATCAATCTGGTTTAGATATGGGTGATAAGCAGGTTTGAAACCTCATAAGGATTGGTTTGCTTCCCTTGACTGTGTGATGTTGATGGAGTTCAATTCAATAAGAATGGTTTTATTAAGCAAATGATTGACTTTCTCAACCTTCTGTTATCAAGGGATTGGGAGTAAACATGACTGAGTTTTAGATGCAAATAAAAGGCAGATCAAAAGTAATGCAATATGTTTCACATTGAACAATTACAGAAATAACTCTAACAATTTCTTTTCCAGTTTATTTTGACTATGTACAACTGTAATCTAGTAATTAACAAATTTTTTTAAGTGTTCAATTTTTCTAGAATCACCCTGAACTTCACACTGAGGGTTATTTTATTTTATGCACTAGAACCAGTGTCAAGTATATTTATGGATTATTTTTTCACCCAACAATCTTTTCTTGTAACATGCATAGTTAAATCATAGTCAAAATAACAAAGAAAAATATAGTTGATGGTTTTTTTATGACTTGTAGTGCCAAAGCCATGATATAAAAAGAACTATGATGTTTACCCACTTCTAAATAAAACCATATATGTGAAAAAGAGCAATATTTAAGCAAATTTGAAAAAGATATGACCAACTGAGAAGAAAATTACAATATGTATTCCAGGAATAAGAGTAAAACAGTTGGTATGCAACTATATTTTACAAATTAATAAGGAAAAAATTCCAGTGAAAATAATAGTGAAAAGAGATAAACAGGCAATACAAAATGTTAGATTTATATATGACTAGTAAATGAATGAGGGCTTCCCAGGTGGTGCAAGTGGAAGAAACTGCCTGCCTATGCAGGAGATATAAGAGATACAGGTTCGATCCCTGGGTTGGGAAGAGCCCCTGGAGAAGGAAATGGCAACCCCTTCCAGTCTTCTTGCCTGGAGAGTCCCATGGAAAGAGAAGCTTGGCAGGCCACAGACCACAGGGTTGCAAAGAGTCAGACACAACGAAGTGACTTAGCATGCACAAATGAATGAAAAGCTAGAAAAAAAGACATCTTTTATCTTCTCCTATCAAGTACATTTCTTCACGTCGAATAGGCAAAGATTTAAAAATTTTATAAACTAAGTGTAAATGTGGAGGGAAAAACCCACGGTAAATGGAACATAAGTGTTACCTTTCTGAAAGGCAAATTGGTAGTCAATTCATTCAGATTAATTTATTGATAAATAAAATAATTTAGAATATACATATATTTTGATTAAGCAATTCAAATTTGGGAATTTTATTCTGTGGATATTACCACAAAAATATGAAAATCTGAATATTCAATGATATAAACTGATATTTATAAGAGAAATTGGGAATATATTAATACATGTAATAAATTTTGACACATACATGTAAATACATATACAGTGATTAAAATTATTTATGGTTTTATGTTTAGGCATGAACAGATATCTCTTGACTGAAGCTGTCATATTATTTATTGACTGGTGCTATGTATTATAGAGCAGAAATATTGTACAAGAATAGAAAATAGAATTTAAAAATAGAACCATGTTTAGTAGCATCAAAAATATGAGATATCTAATAATAAATATTTCAAATTTGCACAAATGGAGAAAATTAGATTCTTCTATCTAGCTGCATTCAATATTAGAGGAAAATTGAACCCTTATGCGAGACTGTATCCCTTTCCCCTAATCTTTATTCAGGGATCAGTAAATGCATTTGGAGAACTGGGAGAAAGGATAAATATCAAGTGTGACACATGTGTAGAAGGCCTGGGCTCCGTTTCCCTCTGTGATCTGCCAGCACACAGAAGCCATTAAATCAAGTTTGGTATTTTGACTTTCTCAGACTGGACATTCTAATTTCCAAACTGAAACCAGGTTTGTGATTTAAAAATGACATTACTTGGGAAGAGCTATAAAGTCACTAAGTCTTCCCAAGTTTTCATTTGGCATCAGAAGATCATCTCTTTGAGTAAAATTTTAAGGATGACAGTATATAATACAAATTATATTATATTCTATAATCTCAGCTTGCTTAATAGGAGCATAGAGATAGATTGTTTAATATCACACCTGCTTGAGGAAACTCTTAGATGACTTCTTAGAAGGATGATATTTTGGGTGGGCCTTTAAGGAGGGACAGAACTCTGAAAGGGTCCAGATGGTGGAAAAGAAATTGAAGAGTACTTCAGATAGAGGAAAGAGCAGGTAATGCTGCTAGTAATAGCAGTAGTCACAGTAATGGTAGTAGTAGCAGTGACAGCAGTAGTGGTGGAAACACTTATAAAATAACAGTGGAAACTCCTCTTTATGGAGAACTAAAACATTCTGGACACTGAACTAAAGACAGTAGCCTCTACTGCTTCCCAGATTAATAGACATCAAGATGTACAAGTTTAAGTTGTATCTGGTAAGGGTGAGTTGTTCAGTATGGTGGGAACACAAGGTTCCATGAGGCAGTATGAATGGTGAACCTTAGAAATTAAGTTGAAAATATTTTCTGTTGAGTTTTAAACATAGTACTTAAGAAGAATGTGCATTATTCTGTAGAAAGCCACTGTTTTCCAGAAGTAGAGTGACAAGTTCATAGATGCCACATAGAGAGCATATTTGGGAAAAAAGGTGTAGAGAGTTTAATGAAGCTGAAAGAGGGAGAAAGAAGCAGGATTTGCTGAAAGGTTAGTATAAAAGCAGGCTCAGATGGTAAAGAATCTGCCTGCAATGCAGGAGACCTGGGTTCGATCCTTGGATTGGGAAGAATTCCATGGACAGAGGAACCTGGCAGACTGCAGTCCACAGGGTCACAAAGAGTTGGACATGATTGAAGTGACTGAGCATGCAGCATGCACATGCCTGGAACCAAACTGATTGAAGAAGGGGTGGATAAAAACCATGTGTTTTCAAAATGTGTTCAATTTGTCTTTTATCTTTTATTCATTTATTTATTTTTGCTTCTCTTTTCACGCAAGTATGTGCATGTGTAGGAGGAAGGATGCTTTGGTGGGGTGGGTCAAGAGTAGCAGAATGAGTGCATGGGAGAGGAGGAACATGGAAGGACATGGAACGGCTGGGTTAGGGCCCCAAAGGTGGCCAAGAACCCAAGAAATCATGTTTACAAAAAAACCATTTGAGACTTGGTCCATCAATGATGCTTCAGGGCCCTGATGACATAAGAAAAAACAAGAGTTAGGAGCATTTGTCTCTTCTGCATCAGAGTGTTTCTCTGGCGCGTGGGGTTCAAGACCACCAGCCAGCGAGGACAGGGTAGAGGAGAACAAAGGCAACTCAAGATCAAAATGCTGAGAAGATTCATTTTATTGTTTTACATCAGTCAGAGAGCACCCTTTAAGAAAATACCATGAGGAATAACTTAGGGAATTTTTCTTAGGGAAGTGAGGGTAGACATAGAGACAGAATCCAAGGCTGTGGAAGGGGATTCAGAAGAGAATTTGAGTTTCTGAACCCCAGGGAGGGTTCATTGTTTTTGCAAGTTCAGTCTTCTGCAGGACCTCTCAGGCTCTGCGACCAATGAAGGAGGATAAAGATGACGTCCTCAGCAGTTAGATTCAGGGACATCTTCAGCAGCAGCCGCCTCCAGAGGACTGACCACTCCCCCCTCCGCAGCACCCGGAGCCCCCCGAGGGCTGGCTGCAGCAGTCAGACCTCTGGGGTCTGCAGTGATGGGACCTGCGGCGCCTGTGGTGGCTCAGGCAGCAGCCCCCACACCCAGAGCTGCAGCAGCCCCCGGAGCTGGGGCCACAGCAGCCCCCAGAGCTGACACCGCAGCAAGAGGAGACTGGGGGGCACTTTGGGGGGCATTTAGGGGTGGGGCCCTTGGGGGCACACTTGGGAGGGGGCTGGCACTGCTGTTGGTTCTGCTGGCAGGACATCTTGGTGGTGGGCGGGTTCAGGAGCTGAAGGAGAGACAGACAGCAGGTCAGACCAACACACAGAGACCTCCCTGCCCCTTCCTGACTTTTCAACATCATTTCTAACATGTATGTTTAAATAATTTGCCTCTGATATTATTTTAATGTCTTACCAACTACTCTCATAGCATCTCCTTTGAACCTCACCTTATCCTTTTTAAAGTAGGAAGGGATTATAACCTATTTTACCAATTTGAAAACTGACATTAAATGATATTTAAAAAACAATTCTTTTCACTTATCTCATTCAAATACTGAAATTGCTCTATAGAGATGAACTTAGAACTGAAATATTTTCTTTATGGAAAAAAGTCCTGTTAACACCCTAAATAATTTCACGTTTTGGACATTTACAGCTTCAGATTAGAAAGGGATCTGAGGATTTTCCTGGCTGGCTCACCTTGTTAGAGAGAATGATGAGAGTTCCCTTGACTCAGATCCTGACCTATAATGGCCTCAGAAACACCTCTTACACCATCCTTAGCCTAGAAACTATTAAACTTCTTGTGCTTTTCCACCTCTAGAAGTGTACAATGCATTCCCAGGCTCCATCCTCACCCAAGTGTGTAATAATCTCCCAGAGTGCCTCTAATCTTCTCCTCACTCTGACAATTGCTCAAATCATACCAGACAGAGGATACAGTATCTCTAGAAGGTAAACTCCATTTCTGAGACTGTTCCAGAATGTCAGAGCAGCTGCCAGTGGTTTCCTTCTTTCATCCTGGGAGTCCCCCCTCCACAAAGCTGCAGATCTTTGGGTCCCTCCCAGCGTCCTTAGCCATCACTAAACTCCTATCATTCTCGCTGTCTTCCTGCCTGCTCCTGGTTCCTTCCGTCCTTCCAGGGCTTGTCTCTCTCTCTCTAATACCATGGGCCACATCCCCCAAGGCCCTGCTCCCTGCCCTCCTCTGCTCTGAGCATCCTCTGTGAAAGGCCCTGCTCCCACTCCCAGTGGAAACTCACCGGTGCACACACAGCACAGAGTCGTCAGCACCTCAGGAGAGGAGTGGATGGAGGTGCTCTGGCCCCAAGGCCCTTTTATCCTGGCCTCGGGCCCTGCCCTCAGGTGTGAGCCAGGGCCTGGGCATCAGAGGACCGCCTCCTGCCACCCACGTGGTTCCTGTGACAGGTGATGACTGGCAGCTCCTCCTTGCCTCCCTCCACGGGGCTCAGAGCATCCCCAGCACCAGTGGCCCCTAATTCTCCTTACACCTTCCTCTTGGAATTTGGCCTCCCAAGCCCTCCTGTCCTAGTTCTCTGAAATGGTCTGCTTTTGAACTAAGACTAATGGAGCCTCCAAGGGTCTCTGCTTACGTCCCAGCCCCCTAGGCCTATCCTGTGTGTGTGTGGATGTCCTTGTCTGTGCTGTTCCTGTTAAAAGCCTGGATTGGGATGAGACCCATCTGGGACAGAACACCTGGTCCTGACACTCAGCTATGTGATCTTATGAAAATCACCTAGCCTCACTCATCCTGTTTCCTCAACTTTAAAACGGTTGAGAAAAACTACTCTCAATGGTGTCATGAGAGTCAACAGAACCATAGAAGTAAAATGTCTGCAAAACGTCCGATAGCACAGTGTGTATGCGAGCTCAGTCATGTCCGACTCTGCAATCCCATGGACTGTAGGCCACCAGACTCCTTTGTCCAAGGGATTATCTTAGCAGGAATACTGCAGTAGGTTGCCATTTTCTCCTCCATCAGATCTTCCCGATCCAGGGATCAAACCTGTGACTCCTGTGGCTGCTGCATACATCGGATCCTCACAAATGAGCTATCTATCCATTGATAATTAAAAGTGAGAAAATTTATTTAAAAAGACAGCTCTTTTCTAGGATGCACACATCTGACTTTTTAAATGACCAATTTTTTCACCTGAGCTTTTTTGTGCATTTTCATAAAACAATATTCCCGTCGAGTAACTAGGGAGTAAATCTGCATTTCCTTACATAGAAGAATGAGAATCTGCTTTCCAAGAATCTTACACAGGGAAAACTGTGAGCCAGTGGACCAGAAAGCAGCAAGAAGAGACAGTGAGAGGGTTCAACCCTGGGGCACAGGTAGAGGTGCTGGGACCCTACTGAAATGTGTGCCCCGATGGAGGAAGCAGGAAGACCTAACAGAACAGGAGGGCTTGGGGTTCAGTAGGAATCTCCAGTGTTAATTCTTTGTTCCTGCAAGAACCCAAGGGTCCCTTCAAAGGTGTTCCTTCAACATTTTTACAAGATTAAGATAAGGACTAATGTCAGTTTGGTAGGTAGCAGGTGAGCCTTCCATGTGTAGAAGGCGACATCACAAAAAAACTAAAATTAATCAGATGAAAGGAAATCAGAGTTAGGATTAATTATGGGAAGAAAACCTTCTTTCCAGAAGTGTCCAAAATAATTTTTTGGAGTAGAATAAGATATAAATTGAGTCAATAATATCTATATCAAGGTAATAGTGGATAAGAATAACCAATATTTGGTGAAATGTATACATGTGCACAGGCATAGAGGGTTTTAGATTGACTTAGATTGACTATATTTTGAAAATTGTGGTATAAAACCTTATAGGCAGAGATAGAGATGCAGGTACAGATACAGCCTCAGATACAGATAAAGGTGCAGAATCTACCCTCCCTATCATTCTCAGCACCAGATATGAAAAGGTGGATGGCCTCTGCTGATGAATCACTGCCTCCCATCTGCTAGGATTTCTCCTTGACTCCAGTCTTCACTGGGATACAAGCATGGTCTCTTTCCACCATCCCACACTCTAGGAATCATTACGTCTGCCCTTTAAGGAAGCCTCATTTAGGGTTCCACACTGTGTTCAGGATTGAAGTCATCATTTTTGACTGATATGCAAGGCTCTCTGTAATATGACTTTGTACAACTACTCCAATTTCTGTTTTTCTCCCCATGATTTACTGTATTGGCTGTACGGTAAGCATATCTTTCCTTACTCTACTTCTTTGCTTTGTTCTATGATATTTTCCTTTCTGAGATGATGAGTTCAAGTCTCACTTACTCCATATGCTTTATGTGACACATCTTACATATGAGATTTTAACAGACCATCTGACAACCTGTGCCTTATACTTCTGATTCTCCTTCAGCAACCTGGACAAGGTTATGCACACATATGTAGTTAATAGATTTTTAAGAATTCTTTCATTAGCATTAGCACTGTGTAGTTTACAAGTAGCTCTTCCCTATGACAGGGCATCCTCCTAGAAGACCACACACTGAGATAGGTACAGTGAGCTGTGATGCCCACATCACCCTGCAGAGATTTGCCCATGTCTCACCTGGCTATGACATTGGCCCAGGTTGTTCCAATGAGCTTAGTTATGGGGGAGTGGACAGGAATATCTGTGCATTGGCTCACAGATATGGGTTGTGAATCCAGCTCCTGATTCCTAGAATGATGGGATGAAGAAGTCATATGGCCCACACCTCTGCCTCGAGGCAGGGCAACATCTGAAATATCAATCTGCTTGGACTTGGGTGATGAGTCAGAGTCATGATTGCAATCGTATCACTTGGACTGACGTTTTGGCCCTGGATATTAGATTGGTGATGGACAGGGAGGCCTGGCGTGCTGCGGTTCATGGGGTTGCAGAGTCAGACATGACTGGGAGACTGAACTAAACTGAACTGATGAGCTGTCAATGGCTTTGGCCTCATTCAATAGACATTTTGACTACCAAAGGCTTTCTGAGGTCACCTATTCAGCCAAGAGTTCTATAACTCTTACAATCATTCTTGCATCTTCTCAAGGAGCAGGAGATCTAATGGGAAGTAATTGAAGCTGAGTTAATTTCCCTCTGTGCCCTCCCACTCTCCTCTATGTGAGCTGCAAAGTGGAACATTAACACATTTTCCCTTCATGCAAATCTTTCTTTGAAGTTATAAATGGTAATCAATAATCTAAAGAAATAAAATTTCTAAATGATTATTTCTCAATTATTAAGGGAGTGAAGGTATTTTAAGAGTGGCATAAAATCCATAATATATAAAGGAAAGAATTGATAAATTACCTAAAATAATTTTTATATAGCATAAAGTACCACCGGTAAGATTTGTTGTTGTTCAATCACTAAGTTGTGTCTGACTCTGTAACCCCCTGGGCTGCAGCACGCGAGGCTTCCCTGTCCTTCACCATCTCCCAGAGTGTGCTCAAACTCATGTCCATTGAGTCAGTTATGCCATCCAACCATATCTTCCTCTGTCATTCCCATCTCTTCCTACCTTTAATCTTTCCCAGCCTCAGGGTCTTTTCCAATGAGTTGGTTTTTTACATCAGGTGGCCGAAGTACTGGAGTTTCAGCTTCAGCATCAGTCCTTCTAATGAATATTCAGGATTGATTTCCTTTAGGATTGACAGGTTTGATCTCCTTACTGTCCAAGGGACTCTCAAGTGTCTTCTCCAACACCACAGTTCGAAAGCCTCAATTCTTCAGCTCCCTGCCTTCGTTATGGTCCAGGTTTCATATCTGTACATGACTACTGGAAAAACCATACCTTTGACTATACAGAATTTGTGGGCAAAGTGATGTCTCTGCTTTGTAATATGCTGTCTATGTTCATCATAGATTTTCTTCCAAGAAACATCTTTTAATTTTATGGCTGTAGTCACCATTCACAATGATTCTGGAGCCCAAGAAAATAAAGTCTGTCACAGTTTCTATTTTTTCCCTCTCTATTTGCCATGAAATGTTAGGACCAGATGCCATGATCTTAGTTTTTAAAGTCAGCTTTTTTCTCTCCTGTTTCACATTCATCAAAAGACTATTTAGTTCCTCCTCTCTTTCTGCGATTAGGATTGTATCATTTGCATATCTAAGGTTGTTGATATTTCTCTCTGCTATCTTGATGCCAGCCTGTGATTCAACCAGCCTGGCTTTTTGCATGATGTACT